AATCAGAAGTTAGTAAAGTTAGAAAATAATTTAAAAGAGACTTTGACAGGGTACAGGAGAGGATGGATAATATTGAGAAATCTTATGCAGAAATAGTTAAAAAAACTAGGGACTGTGAGAGAAAACAATACCATTGTCATAAAGGGATTAAAACCTCAAAAAGAAAATGAAACACAGCAAGAATTGACCAAGAACGTTGAAGCTCTGATTCATAAAACACTTGATTCAAAAGATGTACAAGTCAAGAAGTGCAATAGGAAGCCTCACTATAAAGGAGACAACCCTGGACATATCATGTGTGAATTAGAAAATGAAGAGCAAAAAATCCCAGTGCTGAAAAACAAACATAAACTGAAAAACACAGCGAATATGAAGAAGGTCTACATTGACTCATTTAAAACAAAAGAAGAATTGAAAATGGAAGGAAATATGAGATTGATGCTGAAAACTTCAACTGAGAACAGCAAATGAGACAACACAAGTAAAGCACAGATAGGGCCTTCGGCTTAGTATATAGAACTGTAGAGGTTTCACGAAAAATGACAAAAATATAGACAATTTTAATTTTAGATGTGATGTTGTTGATATTTTAGACTGTGATGTTTTGGGATTGTGTGAGACATTTTTACGTAAAGAAGACACCATAAATATTGAAAATTACAAATGGTTTGGTCAAAACAGGTCACATCTGCACAAAAAGGCCAAAAAGAGGATCTGGAGGGATTGGATTCTTAGTTAAAAACTACCTAGCCCCATATGTTGACAAGTTAGATGATTTTAATTATGAAGGACTACTATGGTTAAGAGTAAACCGAAAACAGACAGATGATATTTATCTATGTGTGTGCTATTTACCACCAAGTGGAAACAGTAGAATGATTGACAGTGATTTTTTCTTCTCTGAACTTCAGAAGCAATTCTACATTTATCAAAATAAGGGCTTAATATATCTCTGTGGAGACTTTAATGCACGATGTGGGCATCTTCAAGATATCATTGAGGGTGTTGATGAAGTGAAGCTAAGGCAGGTGGTAGACAGCGTTGTCAACAACAATGGTGAATCTTTCATATACTCCCTGTCTGCAAGTGGGCTATGCATGTTAAATGGACGGATAGGTAAACATGGTTATACATATGTGAGTAATCTGGGCACGTCTGTGGTTGACTACATTGTGACACCATATGAACAACTCCCGTTTGTAAGTGATTTCCTTGTACACAGGATGACTGAGTTGATCAATGTGAACAATCCGGAGGTACCAAGCAGCACACCTGGCCACTCAGTGGTAACATGTGTAAGTGATGTGAACTTGCAACTAGAACATGAAAGTACCACCACAAAATCAAATCTTCACTCAACCTAACATCTATTAAAAAATACAATATATGATGTGTCAAATACCCCATCCCTGTTTTTAGCTTGCAATGATAATGTAACACTGCTGCAGAATTGGATACGAAATATAGAAGATAACATGTTACAACAATCTGAGTTAGATGGAATGTATGACAGTTTTGTTGAGCTAGTGAAAGAAGAAATGAAGAACTCTCTACCCCACAAGCATGTCACCCGCAATTCAAACAGAAGAAATAATAAGTCCAGAAGAAAGCCCTACTGGTGTGATGATTTGCAACATAAATGGGACTTAGTCTGTAAGAATGAAACATTATGGGTTAAAAGTAAACACAGTTCAAAACAAGAAAGAAGAAAACTAAGGGAACAATTCTGTAATTCAAGGAAACAGTTTGATAGATTGCATAGAAGACACAAGAGAATGCATCAAAAGACTAAGCAAGATAAACTCACTGAATCATTATCAAATCCATCAATATTCTGGAAAGACATAGGAAAAATCGGAATACAAAATGAACGGAAGCCTATCATCCCAAATGAGGTAATACTTGACAACAAGGAAATCAGCACAGACCATGCGGAGATAATGAAGAAATGGAAGAATGGCTTCAGTGATCTGTATAATCCTTGTATAAATACTAGTAAGCAGTGTGAACTCAGTGTGACAAATGACAGTAATATCAGTGACAATGTAGTCAGTTGTGATGTTTTGAATCAACCAGTTAGCAGGTTTGAAGTCAGTACTGCTGTAATCTCAATGAAATCAAATAAGCTTCTGGTATGGACTGCATACCAGCTGAGGTGATAAAGAATCAGCCATCTATAGACATTTTAACCCGTTTTTACAATGTGATCTTTAAATCAGGTCTGGTCCCCAATATTTGGAAGAAGGGAGTCATTAATCCAATCCCCAAATCTGGGGCAGGTGACCCAAGATTACCAACTAATTATAGAGGCATCACTCTTCTATGTGTGACTTATAAAGCATATGCCAAAGTCCCCAACAACAGAATCAGCACCTGGCTGGAGACTAATGATCTGCTTCCACTTTACCAAAATGGTTTCCGCAACGGTAGATCATGTCAGGATCACCTAGAAACTCTCACTAAAATAATATACAATAGGAAGATGTCAAAACTATCTACTTATGTATGTTTTGTTGACACGCGTAAAGCCTTTGATTCTATACAGAGAAATATGTTGTGGCATAAACTACAACATCAATTTGGAGTTCAAGGATATATTTTGAGATCTATTCAATCTCTCTACCAGGATATGCAATGTTCTGTCAAGGTGAATACTGACAAAACTGACTGGTTTGATGTTACTGTTGGGGTCAAGCAAGGCTGTTGCTTGTCACCCACACTATTTTCTATGTATATAAATGATCTAGCAGATGCTTTAAGTGAACTTCAGTGTGGAATAAACATTGACTCTGTCAACATTTCGTTCCTAATGTATGCGGATGATATTGTCCTCATCGCACCTAATGAAGATAACTTACAAAAGCTTCTCGATTGTTTACATCAGTGGTCTACCAAATGGAAGCTAGCAGTGAATAGAGACAAAACAAACATCATGCACTGTAGAACAGCATCAACGCCTAGATGTGATATTCAGTTCAAATGTGGAAATGTCAATATCGGTTATTGTACAGAATATAAATATCTAGGAATGTGGATCAACGAACATTGTGACTATAGGAAAACAGTTAAAGAAATATGCAAAGCGGCAAACAGAGCACTTGGAGTTATTTTCATTAAGTTCAACCATTTGGGAGGTTTAAGCCATGCAGTGTACACAAAATTATTTGATAGTTATGTGCAACCAGCTCTTAACTATAGTGCAAGTGTGTGGGGCATAAATATGTACAAAGAAATAAGTTATATTCAGAATAAAGCCTCCAGATTCTTCTTGGGAGTGAGAAAGAATGCCTCTAATGTTGCCGTCAGAGGAGAGATGGGGTGGAGAAGCCAAAATACTAAAATTAAAATTGAAGTTCTTCGAAGTTTCCATAAAATCATCACCTCCTGTGAAACATCTGTGTGTTCCATAGTCCATAAATGGCCATTTAAAAGAAAATCCTCCTGGGATTATAGGGTGTGTGAATTTGTGAAAAAAATAGATATTCATTGAAATATGGACGTTTTAGATTTTTGTGTCAAGGCTAAACGTGCCTCATTTCTCAAAGCATGCCTTGAAGTGTTAGATACAAGAGACATACAAAAGTGGTTCTCGGATATATTTAATGACAAAGGTAATTGCAATGGAAATAAATTACGAACATATAGGAAATATAAAGAAACTATCCAAACTTCTCACTATGTGAAAATGTCTCTACCCAGACAACAAAGAAGTATATTAGCCTCATTACATTGTGGAAACCTTCCTCTGGCTATAGAAAGTGTCAGGTATACCAAGCCTGTGACTCCTTTGGTAAATAGACTTTGTCAACTATGTCAGGAACAGTTAATCGAAGATGAAGTACACTTTGTTGTGGTGTGCAAATTATACAGTGATTTAAGGAAATGTTTATTTGATACATGCAATAATCAGTTCAGAAGTTTCCGTGAACTGTCCACGTTAGATAAGTATAAGTGGTTGATGAACACTGAATGTATCCAGCTAGAATTGGCGAGATGTATTCAGAAAATGTATCACAAAAGGCTGCAAGGTGTACAATAACTATTCAATATGAATTTTATATGAAAATTGTAATTGAGTGTGTGAGGTTATGGGTCATGGGTGTGTGTGTAGAGGGGATTTTAATGTTGGTACGGTCAGAAGAAAGGATATGGAGTGTGTGTAGATGCAGGAATTTGGGTATGGGTATATTTGTGAGTGAGGTTGAGTGTGTGTGTGTGTGTGTGTGTGTGTGTGTGTGTGTGTGTGTGTGTGTGTGTGTGTGTGCGTGCGTGTATGTCTCGAGTGAGGGGGTGGGGGATATCTGAATGTGTTTGGGTGTCTGTTTAGTATGTGCGGGAGAATATTAGAATGATTGATTGTGTGCGTGCGTGCGTGAGTGCGTATGTATATATGTGCGTATGCATGCATGCATTATGTGATTGTGTTAGTGAATATGTGTTTATGTAGATATTAAGAATGTGCATGATTACTTTTTATATCTAATTGTATTTTAATATTTGTAATATCTTAAGGTGTCATTTCGGCCCTCTGAGGCCTGGTGTTTGTATTTTAAGTATGTGCTAAATGTTGTATTGCTTTGTAACACATGACACTGTAATAAACTATATTATTATTATTATTATTATAATTTGAAATGCAACTGGAAAAATCTCAGCTCTCATTTATGATTAAAGCCCACATCAGCCCCCCCCCCCCCCCCCCCCCACACACACACACACACACGAACACACACCCATACACCCCCACACACCCCCGAGCGAACGTTTTAACCAACCACTTGGCTACCCGACCGGCCCCGTTAAACAACAAACAGACAGACCTTGTAACATATTTTGACTGTAGCAATGAGACCGCAGGAAAGACATTATATTGTCCGTGAAAAGATTAAATGCGGGACAGAGTTCGTTCAGCCAATCACACCCACGATCCTATTTCAGATTATGCACACCCGAGCGTAACGCTGAGCCGTTCTCCAGCGCATTCACTAGCTTAGCTTCGCGATGGTGGCAAGACGCAGGAAGATGGGATTTGCATTGGTTCTTGTGTTTTTCGTTGGAATTCTGGGCTATATGTTTACAGCCCAGGAAGTGAATCAAAATCGTGGTAAGTAAAACTGTGAATTCCCGTACGTACACATGCACAACAATCTGAAAAATATATGCCGCGTTTGTGAAATTTGCCATCGATTGAATTGTTTATAGATTTTAGATTTCGCTTTAAGAGCACAACTTGAGAACCGTTCCATACCCTTCATAAAAAAATGGCAGATATACCAAACAGATCCTGAGGTGGTGCCGTTTGCTTTTTGTGATTTCATCATTTTTATTTTTCTCCATTTGCGAGGAAACAATTGGACTTTGTCTCGAGATAGGGTTGGATGTCGTTTTCAGAGCAGAGCTCGAAAATCATGAAACATGCTAGGTTTATCAATGATGTCCTGAAGTGGTGCATTTATTTTGAAATGACTTTGTTCATGCATCTCATCGTATCCCAATTGCGTGGATCGACTCCGCAGAATTGTTGTAAATTGTCTGTGTAGCTACGCACACACTCCTCGGAGGACAATGGTTTCATCGTACATAGCTTGGCATAGTGGCCGAGAGGGGACATTCCTTTCACACGTTCTCGCTCTTTTGGCTTCACCGGTCAAGCGATGTGTCCACTTGACAACTGAAGGGGTCGCAGGTGTTATCTGTTTCTGGGAGGGATTGTTGAAATTTTCTCACCATTTACTTACGCATAATTTAATTGTAAAGAAGTGGGTGATTTTGAAACATTCCACGGATTTCTGCGTGAATGTAATGGGTTGATTTATGTCCCTGTTTGGGGCTTTTAAAGGGGAAGTGTACACGCAAAAATCACTTTCTATCTTTTTCTAAACAAAACGCAATTTTAGAATGAATTAGTATCTGTGTTTGAAAATATACACTCATTTTTTTCACAGTGAAAGTAGGAAACTCACAATAGTGTGAAAATGATATGCCGTTTTTTTTATGAGGCCTTCGTTTTTCGAGCTAAACAGGCCTGAGTTATCCCCCTTAGATTATGACGTAATTGGTGCCAGTTCAACTGGGTCCCTGTCTATTCTCAATGCAAAAGATATCAAGTACCAGTTTGCGGTAAAACAACATGGCCTACGACACATTCCGGCGCAGTGGTGACTCAGCATAACACTATGCTGGCTGGCATCTGAGACGCTAGAATCACACACCTGTACCTACACCACGTGAAGCGGCTCTAATAAAGCATGATGACGTCATAATGTTTATCAATTGGCACCAATGACGTCATATTGCAAGGGGCATAAGCCATGGTGTTTTTGTTGTGGAAATAGAACACTTGGTAAATGTGAAAAATATAAATCGTTTTAATGCGAAAAATATGTTAATTAATTGTGATATTTTTATATTTTTGTCTATGACACTTCTAGGTTAACACTTTTAATGTGGAAAAAGTACAAGAAAAATAGGTTCATTTCCGTGTGAACTTGCCCTTTAAGAGACCATTATGCTGATATTTGATATGCGTCTAAGTTTTGAATATTACCTAAACATACTGCAGGAAAACGTTTGGTGAGTCTTAAGGGGCTTGTTACAATTTGTTGCATGCAACACATTGCATCGTGCTAACGGGTAAGTCGGGCCAACTTTTGACATACATGTATGCCACTTGTTGGACGTGAGTTGTACGAAATACGACATGTTCTATTTTATTGCAACAAGTTGTATGAACGCAGCCAATCAAAACGCGTATGACAATCACGGATATTTACACGTCAATATGGAAACAAAAATGGCGACACTGATTCACGTCGGTAACTTCTAACACGTCCCATTTTAATTCTGGAAACCCAATAGTCCAGAAACTCTACGGTCTTTGCTCAGACTCGGTCAAAGGTATTTACAAAATTAAACATGCTGTTTTCATGGGAACATACTAAGGAAGAAAAACTGAAAAAAAAATGTTCAAAAAATCAATATATACACAATGTGGCACATGGTCCTACCCATGGGCGAAAAGTGGCCCATGGGTAGGACCATGGGCGAGAATATGTTCCTTTGCTCAAAGCTCATGTTTTTGCCTCCCAAATATAAACAGGTGTTCTTACAAGTTTCATGACACATAATTTAACTCATTTTAACTTAATTCAACTATTGTACGACGTTATTGAAATATATCGCCTTGGACGAGAAAGTTTGGCCCATGGGCGAGAATATTTTCCTTTGCTCAATAGTTTCAGTTTCAAAAATACATAAAGGTGTGTCTACAAGCATGACACATGATTCAACTCATTTTACTTAAATCAACTAATTTGTGGCGTTATTAAAATATGAGTATCGATCCACGCAATTGGGATACGATGACATGCATCAACCAAGTCAGCGAGTCTGACCACCCAATCCCGGTAGTGGCCTCTTACGACAAGCGCAGTCGCCCTTTTACCCCGGATCTTCACGGGTCCATTGAAGCAGGGATTTGTGTAAAGTCATTCCTACAGCATACAATGCCAACTCAAAAATGATACTCAACTTACTTACTTGTATTGGAGATTTAACGTGCGCTTTCCGACTGCAAGCTTATGTCGCACACGGGATGATGATACTCAGCAGTGCAGTAATTTAGAGTTTAACGACCGCTTCAGCCTCTGGCTGTGTCGCAGTCGGGGCCGACGGAATATACTTGACAACAAATAGTGGGAATAATGATAAACGTCTAGCCCCCAAAAATATAAATGAATGGGGATAAAGTAGGAGAGGAGAGAGGTTGGGGGTATAGAGGCAGATGGTGCCTAAAGAGAGACATAAAGGGCTACTTTATCCTGGTTCTAATGCTAATATTGTGTAAAAAATAAAAAAAATAAAAAAATAAAAATATAAGTATAGTAGAATGGATGAGAGTGTAATCAGTTAGGCTGATAAGCTACATATAAGGAGGTATAAATGGGAAAAGAATAGTGTAATAGTAATGGGAAACCTTAGCTACTAAAGGTGGGTCCTATATGCCGGGGGGAGAGGTATGCTGTCAGGCCGTGGCGCGTGTGGTCGTGACAAGGGTGTCCTTGACCTTGGTTGAGAGGCTGGTTGAATGACTATTATCGTTAGAGTGTATGGTTATGGCGGAATTTGGAGCGCGGACGTCGGAGAAAGCAACTTGCGCTGTGAATTTCGATCCCGATCCGAACCTAGAAAGTTTGCAGAAATGATGATAGTTAAGGCTGGTAATTTATGTGGGATGGTCTAAAGTCTTGTTTGTAAGTGTGTTGTCTTCGGGAAAGTTTCTATTTGTTTGTGTATACTTGTTGGATTTGATGGTTTGAGAAGCAGTGTTATATTATTTTTGTAGTTGGAGGGGAGGGTGCTGTAGAGTGTTTGTTGTTGTTGTTGTTGTTTGTATTTCGTACAGCTGTTGAAAATGTGGTTTATGTTCTCTGGTGTGTTGCAGTGTGTGCAGTTTGGAGTTTGGGTGTCTGTTTTGAGTGTGTAGTATTTCATTTAGATTGACTTGGCCGCTGTGTATTCTGTTTATTAAATTACTTTATCTGTAAGGATTGAGTTGGTGAAGTTTCGACATTTATAGATCGGGCTATTTAATCCACTGGGACTTACATTTTTGTATATTAGTATTGAAATTTTGTTGTTTCGTGTTATATTTAATTAGTGTTTTGGTTTCGGACTTACTTGTATAGGGGTGGATCATAGGGGATGCTGTTTGATCTGCTATTTCATTACCTGGTATGCCTGAGTGACTGGGTACCCACAGTAGTGTTATTGTTTTGTTTTCTGTGTTTAATGTGGAATGAATGTTTACAATCTGGTTTATTAAGTCGGGACGGGTTTTGGAGTGTTTGTTTGCAATTTGTTGTATAGAGCTGAGTGAGTCTGAAATAAAAATGTGTTTTTTGTGTTTTGATTTGGTGATATGCATGTAGTGTGGCTAGTAACTCTGCTGTATTAGTATTGGTATAGTCAGTATAGTGGAAGTATTTGGTAGTGGTGAATGGTTGTGTTGTGTGGATACCCAGGCCTGTTTTTTTGTTTGTGGTGTTGTATGATGCATCTGTGTATATGTGTGTATGTTCCGGCCAGTTTTCTTGTATGTGCTTGACTGATATTGTGCATTTCTCCGTATTTGAGAGCTTATTGTGATTTTTGAACATTGTATGGAGGGATGTATCTGTGTCGGGGGGGGGGGGGGGAGGTTGATATGTTCTAGTTTGTGAATTTTGATTAAGTGGTACAGGTGAGTAACGAAGGGGGCCATGTGTTTGTTATTTGTGAATTTTTTTATTGTTGCGGGGCGAGCATTTTGGTATTTCTGTGTGATTTGCTTAAGGATTGGGTTATGTTGTGCCCCAGCCCAGTAATTGAGTACTGTTTGTTGTCGTCTTAGTGGTATAGATGTTATGCCTCTTAGTAATTGTAGTGTGTTGAGTGAGGTGCCAGCTCTGGTTCCCAGGGCTATTTTAAGGGCTTTATACTGAATTGAATTAAGTTTTTTTTCTTCTAGGTTTTCTGTTATTGAGTGGAGGACCGGGGCGGCGTAGTCAATTTTGGCTTGAATAAGTGTTTTATAGATGTTAACAAGTGTGTGTTTGTCGGCTCCCCAGTGAGAGCCGCTGATGGCTCTCATGAGGTTAATATCCTTTTGACATGAATTGACCACATTAGCAAAGTGGGGAGCCAATTTGAGGTGTTGGTCAAATGTAATACCTAGGAATTTGGCTTCTTTTTTTAAATTTGGTGGTTTCGTCGTTGAGTGTAAGTTTGGGTGTTAGATTTGGCGTAAACGGTTTTTTGAAAAGTAAGCCTATGGTTTTTTTAGTGTTAATTTTGAATCCCCACTGGGAAGCCCAGTATTCTAGGTTCGAGAGGATGGGTTTGCTTCTTTTTTCCATTTCTTTAAGTGATGTTGATGACGTCTAGTAATTATGCCAAACCATGTCGAACGCTTTTGAAAAATCAATGAATATGGTATTAGGTGGTCTGGGTCTGTCTTGCGGAAGGAAAACATAGCCTTTTTTTGGGGGGGGGGGGGGGGATTTTTGTTTCCTGTACGGCTATGATGAAGGGGTCAATTTTGTTTAGGGCAATGAGGGCCTTAAG